TTATTTCCTGTTTTATCATCTTTTACAACAAATCTTGTGGACCAAGCCGTTTGCATTCTCATTTCTCATGAAAATAATACGATTATGGTCTTTGATTATTGTGGACATTAGTCGCCGAAAGGCCGTACGGGTTCGGGTATACCACATGCGACAATTATTTAAAAAAAGTTGGCTACAAATTCAAAGTCCGTCAAACTGCAGGCATGCGGTACTTTGTTGGCGGATACACACAGGTATCTATGCCTATCTACACTTAGGGTCGTATTCTAGAACTCTACTCAATGCTCAAGTCAGGATTGCACTGGAAACACAAGCACTGGAAATACGACCCTAATGGCAGGGACTTGAGTATGATTTCGAGTACTTTAAACCATACTCAAATCCTGACTTGAGCATTGAGTAGAGTTCTAGAATACGACGCTCAGGGTCGTATTCCAGAACTCTACTCAATGCTCAAGTCAGGATTTGAGCAGACTTGAGTATGATTTCAAGCACTGGAAATACTACCCTAATGGCAAGGACTTGAGCATGATTTTCAGTGCTCACTGCAATACTCAAATCCTGACTTGAGTATTGAGTAGAGTTCTAGAATACGACTCTTAGATATAACATAAGCTCCTTATTTATCAGAGATTTTTGATAATCTTTCGTTTTCTTTTTAAAGACGTTAACATTATAGATGAACAGTATGTAGCAAATAGTCTCTCGAATACGTACTTATTGTATTGTAGATAATTACTATAACCACTATAAAGGAACATACAGCGAAAATGGTAACATCCTTCAACAAAAACGTTTGCTATGGCAATCGATTGCACTACTCCTATGGAACTTACAGTCCTTACGGATTTACCATGAATCTCCCTCACAGAATAACGAAGGTGGCGACGATGGCGTTTTTTTTTTGCATACATGACCCGGCAAATGTTGAGGGGAAACCATTTTGAATCTCGTGTTTACAAATTAATATTTACTTTTATTTGTTTGTAAGTAATTTATTGTTGTATTTATTAGTTTCATAGTCAGACAGGTTAATAGCTAGGGAAATTTGACCAATATCTACCCATCAATGTATAAAAAAAAAACAATTTACCGTAACTGTTTTTTTTTCATAGTTCTTTTTCAACCGGCGTTTATTTCGATAAACGTGAGAAACACACGGAAGCAGCAATTTACATTTGTTTGATAATTGCTATCTGTATCTATGCTACATGTATAACACCAAGATTGTAAAAATTCGTAATACGAGAAAACCAATTTAGGATTGACAATAAAATAGTGGCTGAATACCGGCAAAGACAATCAGAACAGCGAAAAATGCGTACGCAATAGCATTTTTAATCTCGCTCACGTAACTAACTACATTTGGGTAAAAATAGAACAGGTTAATAATAGTTACCTCCTGCCCATCGTACACTGTCGGCCAAACCATTCTCACTGAACTATTATGAAGATATTTTACACGGAACTCCGGCTGGGGTATTACTAGCGGCGTTTGTGATCTTGAACTGCCCTTTCGAGTGAAAAACTCCCCACTGCATCGCCCGGACTTGCGTATTGGACGCTGAACGGACGGCGCGCGCAGCGTCGCGACGCGACCTGACACAATCACGACCACACCGAATTTTCAACACCTATTTCCACGGTAACGTTATTTATTATTGTTATAATCTAAACTTTCATTGATAAGATTCACGCAAATGCATTTTTACAGCTGCAAACTGCAACTGAAAAGTTTTTTCAAATGTCATCAGCATCATCACTGCGTTCTAAATTTAAACATTTGAAACTTTGCCAATATTTTATATTTGCCAAGGAGGCAGTTATTGCTTAAAACACTTATTAATTAATTATGAATAATATTAAACAAATTTAGTTTCTGATGTTTTATTAAATTACGATTAGATTTATTTTATTTTTACGATTTTAATTTTCGCAAAAATTGTAAAATATTAAAGTATGAAATGCTACTTTAGTCAAATTTCGGTGACCTCCATGACCATTCATTTTTAACATCCTTACTACCTTGATGATCATGAAACTTTATTATAATATTTTATATTTTAAATAATTCATTCAGTATAATATTGTATTATGAAGATCTCGACTACGTTAATACCGAATTGGCCCTTTTTAACTTCCGGTGACCACAATGACCCTTTAAGTTCCGTATCCTTTACTATCTCTAAGTTACCTACCTTGTGCAGAGATAATCAATCTTCAGTAGAATTTAAAAAGATCAATCAGTCCTTTGTTTTTACCGATTTTTCAAAATATACCATTTGAAATACAGTTGTATGTGCTTACCCCGACAGGAAATAGGTGTGAAGTATATGTATGTAGGTATGTATGTATTTTCGTAAACAATAATGAATTATGACTGTTTTGGTAGATACCTATATTTAAAATTTACACTTTACTGTTGCTTTTTTTTCTCTAGGTACATACTAAACAATTTCATTTTATACAAATGGTGTTGGATTGTATAATATTTTAATGGTCTGCTGAGTTTATGGAATGACACGCAATTTGTTTCTACGAATTAATTATTATTATTTACGAGCATTGTTTAATCTACGACTGTTCATTTGAAATTTATTTTCATATTATCAAGTAGGTAGTTCAGGCAAGTAAAATTGAAAATGAATTTCCTTTTGTCAAAGGAAAGACATTAATTACTTAAAGGAAAGACAATTAAACTATCTAATATTTAAACCATTTCAATAGATTCCTCAATATCACAGGACAGTTTCTTCTTTAGTTTCGTGTAAATTGATAGATAAAGGTTAAGAATATGAGGCTGCAGTTTTCTACATATTTGTCACATGTCGAACAATGATGTTAGCTTATGGATGCAAATTAATACATTTTTATTATTAATAGAGTATATTACTCGTATTAAAATGACCTAAAAATTTGTATTTTTCAATTCAGCCCATGGATAGTCAGCCATAATTTGTTTCACTCAACTTTATAATATATTAGGCGCTAACAACTCTTTATTTGATAATATCGAAATAAACAAAATAAGGAAATATTTTTTCTATGTAGTTACACCTAAATTATAATGTTTTAAGAGCCGATTGCATGGTCCGGTTGATTTGTTGTTAAAATAAATTTGAGGTTATGTTTTTTGTAGAAATATGATTCCATGTTTCGTGGAGAATCGGATCATTCTTACTTATTCAGTTTTATAATTTATAGATTATTGCTAAACAAATTGTACTTATAATTTTATTCCATGAGATAGAAATGATTTCTACTAGGACAGCGACATTGCAATGAATAGTGTAATAAGAGTCTATTTTATTCACAATTTTTTATTGTAGCCGTATCAAAAAGAACTTGATGTAGGTAACATTATGTCATACAAATGTAGATATATATATTTTGCGTTAATGACTAAGATCATCACTTCCGCCTACTAGATAATATATGTTATAAATCCAGAAAAACGTACGAAACAGGTATGTCTACAAGTAAACACGTAAACAATGAAATTTATGATTTAGTTTTACACTTACCAAAGCCATTTTCTATTCCGAAAACTCGTATACAACTTTATTTAACAAAAAAGTTTCAATCTGTGCCTATCACTAGTTGTTAACTTTGACAGCAATTATAAATGCACTACGTCAAAAGGACTACAGATAGTGTAGAGGTCATCCCAATGTCAAACGCAGGTAACCATTTTTACGCTAGCCACATTCTATTGGAATGCGAAAATCACAGACAACTAATAAAGTCTGTGTTTTAATACGTCTACTGATAACAAATTTTAAAAATATGTACCTACACGTAATTCTTAATTTTCAATGGTTTAATTTTAACTTGCACAGAAAAATGTTGACGATCAGTGTAGGGTGTTTTCAGTTGTAGTGTCACCAATCAAATTACCGTATTTATAGACAAATTGATTAGCTAAATAATGAAGTAAAAAAAATCGACCCATTATTATAAGTCAGCATATTTTGTTTTGTAAAGAGTTTTAAACATTAAAGCAACAAAAAACTTACCACAAGAAAACTACGTCTTGGTTCCACGGCTTTCATTTTCGAAATTCAAAATAAAATTAATTAAACAAGACCAACTCGCGGCACTAACAAAAGACCTCTACTGGAGTTGGCGGGACGAACCGGCTTTATCTAGGGAATTGATAAAAAGCTGCACAGTCCTTATCGACAAGTTAATACGGTAGGGATAGTAAACTAATGTTAACTTCACAAATATCAGTATAATTACATGATCATTATTTAATTCTTGTTGTAAACATGTCTGTTCGAACTACAGGAATACCTATAATAACGATTTAGTTAAATTTTCCTTAGTGTGGAATTTTACTTAATGCCTTGGACATCAAGTTGCATAGCATGTAGGTAAATAACACATACTCACATTTCAGTAGTATAGTCGAATTTGATGTGTTCTACAAAAAGGTAGGTAGGCAACGATATCTATGCTTCATGTCTTTGTAAGTAGATATTTCTTTTTGTGACTAAATTATGATGACACAATCATAATTATGTCACTCACGAGCCATAAATAGTGTCACTTATCAATATTCTCACGTACTCTTAATCTGATAAAAGTATGTTTTATTTAGCTCTCATAACAATAACCACCATCTTGTTGCATGTTTTTCACGCTATGAGATAGTTTATCGCGTGTTGGTGACGTTGCAACAGGTATCCAATAAACAACGTAAGTGTAAGGAACAAAGAAAATAATAATATAAACGACACGTAACTTTACGTCCTCGAAATCTAGAAAAAAATTGTAATAATTAATAATAATATAAATAATAAGAGCTAACTAATCAAGTATAAAAAAGCTTCTCGAAATATTGTCATTTGTAAAGAAATTAGCAAAAAAAAAAAAAAAGCAAACGCCTAAGGTTAGTTTGCGACTTTGCATTACTGCGAAGTGTCATGACAGTTTTTTTTTAATGGTTTTTTTTTAGTCAGAGAAGAAAAAAAAAATAAAAAAAATGTTTATTGAACTTATTTTTATTTCTCCAATCCAAGTCATATTTAAAATCATAACATTTTGTTCGATATAATAACATAAAACTCGTATATCTACTGACAAGAAATTCGCCTTTTTCAAAGGTCTTGGAATGGCAATACGCAACAAATTTACACCGATCTAAAAATTACATGAATAAAATGAGGAAGGAAAAAGAAGTTTTAAAATTATAATTTGTATAAATAACATGTTGGTCATACGATGATTCGTATACAGAATGTACCGTAAAACAGGGCTACTTGATCATCATTTTGGGCATTTTTGATAAAAAAACAGGATGCTTATTAAGCTCAGAATATTGTACTGAACTATTTATTATATAATATACTGATGACATCAAGGCATGTCATGTGTTGAGATGCACAAAATATCATATAAAAAAAGATGTTAATAACCAAGTTGTCTCGTTTTAGAGCTACGTGTTGTACGGTAGCAATTTTTGAGTATTTTGCAGTAATACTGTTTGTACAATAGAATGATAATAATTCTCAAAATTAAAATGGTTCTAAAATATTTCAATTTACTCTCTGAGACCAGAAAACTATTTTTAAACGCGACGAATTGGAATTGTGAGTCATGGAAACGGCAATTCGATGTAAATCATCACTGTATACTGATAAAGGCAAAGAAAACTGAGCCTTGTAAAGAATTAAATTATGGAAGGTCAGATTGTTGTGACTGTATAAAGGGAAGTTATATTACTTCTCTCTAGATCTACCTCTACAATCACAATCATTTGAGAGAGAGACAGAGAGAGCGATATATAGGCATAATATTTGTTTTCTCTTCCATAAAATGTTAGCTTTACATGTTACACAATCTCTATTTATTACTTTACATTGAACGTTTGAGTTGTGTTGCCATAGAAAATTTGTCAATAATCTCCACAGCAAAAAGCTAATCTTAACAATAGCAATATTTCATAAATATATAGTATTAAAATGTAAATAAAAGCAGTCGTTGGTAGCAAGCATAATCGTTGTAGTCTCAATGAAGAGCTGCGGTTATTTGAACTAACAATTTTCAATTCTAACAATAAAGAAAGTTGAACCAATCAGTTCTGGTTCAGGGTAAACAAACTAACTACATACATATGTATATAAAAGTTCAAATACTTTGCCCATTTGTGTCATTGCTGGCCTTTATTGTTCATGGGAGTTCTTATAACCGCCACCCGTTTTATTTCTACATAAAATCTAAATAATGTGCGTTCTGGTACTTAATTGTGTACTCATTACTGGCAAAGATAATTTGCGGTAAAATTAGGCTACGAGCCGACAAGAATTGAACCCTTGCCATATGACGGAACAGTTAAAAAAAGTCCGACTTTATATATAAAATGAATTTTGCTACCATTATCATGACATCACTCGACTAGTCGGCTTAGTGTTGCCATTTCAACTTTTGACAGATTGTCAAAATAACAGATAATTAGTACAAACTTTTGAAAATGTTGCTCTGTGTAGTTTGACAGTTTCAGAGAAAGTGTTTTAAACGGCAAGACTGAATCAGAACATTGGTCACTAGGCTTTCTCCTTACGCGGCTAACCTGCAGGTAAGGACAACTAACCTCTCGTTGGAGAATATCACTGATGAGATGTTACAATAATGGTACAAGCTTTTTCAATAATACAATTGTACAATATCCAGTAATATACACAATTAAGCGTCTAGTATTACTTTGTAGTAAAAATTCGATGGTAAACTCTAATATAGATTGAAAGCGACAATACATTTTGTTAAACTATCTGCTACAAGAGTACACATATTGGTCTCGCAGGTACTAAAATATGATTTCAGAATATTCATTAATATATCTTTGAAGCTATGAAAATAATTTTTAAATATACGAGGTACATTATTGTTACATTTTTGAACTGTTCATTACGAATTATTTAACCTTTTTTTTATTAATAAAAATTGATTATGTTTGTTTAGGAATATAAATTCAGTGTTCCTACATTTTGACGATTGGTGCATTCAACGTTATAACAATGTGCGAATTATTTTAACTACAATGTCTCCAATAACGGCAAATACAGATATTTAACTGCGACAGTTTAATGGCAATAAATAGAAGCTATTATGTATTTCACAAACAGACAATATAGAATATTTTAGGCCAATATTTTGTGAAATTCAGCAATATTCATTTGACTATACAATATACCATCATCTCAATGCAAATGTACGTTATATTCAATATACATGAGTATATAATTGAAGTTTATACTTTTCTATTTATATAATTATGTTTGTGTCCATATTGTCAGTTGTAACAAGTGAAAATATTGTGAAATGCTCTATATTATAAACTTTACAATATATTTTGATCAATTTCTATATCCTAAAATATATATTTTAGCTACATTTATAATATCACTTGAGGCCGACACACATCTGTGCCTACAACTAGAGTAATGTCTTTTAAGCATCTAACAGAAGACGAACGACACTGCAGTTTCCGCGCCGCAACTTAGGCACCCTCGACGCTACCCGGTTACGGTGCCGAACGGGTAGCGAGTGAGCGAGCTTGAGTCGTCGCGCGGACGATGCCACCACGACTAACCTTCAGGAAAACGCGCAATGAAAGCTACCATTACCACGCCGTATAGCCATCCCAATCATATAAATATCTAACCGTTTACAATGGTATCTCCCATTTAAACGATACCGCTCGATCGCAACCGTCGGACGATCGCTCGATAGACCACGAGCGGAGCCGACACGGCGCGTCACTAGCCGACCTCGCTTTTGACGTAGAATAGAAGGTACGGCGTGGCGGCGGAGCGGAGTTTGGGCTCGGCGGAAAGGAGGTCCTCGAACTCCTCGTTGGAGATGGGCTTGACGAGCTCGTCGTCACAGGCCAGCCAGGTGGCGCTGCGCGGGCGGGGCACGCAGCAGTCCTTGGCCGCGCAGCCGGCGGGCGACGGCCGCGGCCGGTTGAACAGCCGCAGGAAGGAGGACGTGTTGGCCGTGGCGTCGCCGGCGCCTGCGCGCGTGCACTTGCCCTCCTCGCCGGCGCAGCCGTCACGCGCGTACGCCACGTAGTGCCCGCCAGTCAGCGTCTGCCCCAGGTGCATGATCACCGCCCAGAGGATGTATCTGTAACCACACAACGAACAACTCATCTTCGACTGTTACATTTCAGTTTGTCGATTGTATACATTTATTTTCAACTACGTATTTCAGCCTTTGATGATTAAGGCCCAATTTTTGCCGGACGGAAGCGTCAATAAAAAGCTGAATAAAATCGGGAAATGTTCTCTCCACGCGATTGATACCAGAAGAAAAATTTTCAAGTGCCGCATCAATGAAGTTAGTTTCACGCACTTTGGAAATGTAAGAGACTAGAGCTATACTGACGCCTTTTCAGTGACAAACCTCATAAGTGCACTATTGCGGCGTTCTTGACTTTATACATACACACGACCTTTACCTATGCATATAAGCAAGAAATCAAATTATCCATTGAGCTTAACGTAATTTTTTGCTTAAACTTAGGCAAAGTTCGTTTTGTAAATAAGTAAAATTGCTTAAGTCTTTGCTTAGACGAATTCAAAGTCCCCTTTATTTTTTTTTACAACAGATTTGTAGTTATACATCATCATCAAACTTAAGAGCTATACTCTTATTGGTGAAGCGTCTTCCAATCATCTCTCTCATAAGTCAGCTCCTTGACCTCCCTATACGACACGACACCGACCTTTGCCTCTATTTGGTTTTTGTAGCTGCGCCTAGGTCAACCTCTTCCCTTCTCCCTTCCCTTCCTATCGCTATACATTCTGTCAAAATTTCAAAGTGAAAAATACCTCCCATGTAATACCATTTTTGGATTTCGTAAAGGAAATATATCCTTTTTGTTACGTATATTATATATATATATATTATATCTATGGGTTCCCTATTTAAAAGTAAACATAACACTGATATCTGTACTTTTAAATATGGAATCTATAATATACATAAAAGGGATATATTTAAGTTAAAAAGCCAAAAAGTTGTATTTTGACTTACAACAAATTACGTGAAAGGTATCGAATTGTACCTATCGTACGTCATTCAGTTTGTACAGCATTAAGTATGGCTGAGTGTACCTGTGAGTGGACGGTTGGTCGGCGGGTCGATTGACACACAAGTCGCAGAAGCAGGGCATGAGAAGCGGCGTCGGTGCGTGACGCGTGATCTTCTCCATGCCGCCGCTGAAGCGCTTCAGCTGCAGCACCAGCAGCCGCGGCAGCCGCGAGTATGCCACGCTGCGTCGCGCTTCATTGTAGCGTAGGCAACGCTCGCACCAATACTGTAAAGGGTATTTCATTCAATATACTGTTCCTTGTAACAAAGATAAGTCCGTTTTGTTTCTATAGTTTATTCACTTATACTCCGTCCAACCATTTATTTAACTTTTGACATATGCATGCGTCCGAAGTTTCCTAATTACTAACATATAAGCATAGACAAAAAATGCGATACTTCCTGGACGCTTTTGTTTTTTAATTTTAGTGAAGCGACGTGCTCTTTAGAACCGATATTTATCGAGCCAACAGATTATGTAACGAAGATTATAAATTTATCAAGTTAATAAATTTTGGTACCTGAAAAACGAGAATGATCACTTGAATCCTCATTAACAATAACCAATTCCTGAGTATACAAATTGTCAAACGCAAGGTGCCAGTACTACCCTGGACGAACTCTTTCACAGGGAGTTCTACTGCTACTTAATTTTTGCGTGTAATTTCACCAGCACCCTTAAATTTCCTTCCTCATTCATCCTTTCATTTGTGTTGGGTTAATATTGAACATTAAAAATTTTTATTTGTATTATAATTATAAATATTGATTTTTTTTAAACGCACAGACTCATAGACCCCCACTAGGGAAATCCTGAATCGCGAGTGCCATGGACACATACATAGACAACAACAAATTACACCCAAACACATGAGAAAAATAAATGTAGGCCATACAAATATTTCTTCCGGCTCGGGAATCGAACCCGGGACCTCTGCGTCGCAAACTGCGTGGTAACTATACGCTCACGGAGGCAGTCACATCAAATTATCTTCGTTTTATAGGCAAGCAAATCACACTTGTAATCGTTTGTGAGATAAGTTTAAAAAGGTTTTTTAAAACTTTTTATAATACCTCACACAAAAGAATCGAGAGCCCTCTAACTAGAAGTCTTAATTTATCACAAGGTTCTATTTATTATTACCAGTATTAAAATTGTATAAGTTGCTCAGTTTATTATACAATTCAATATTGAGACGCACGAAAAGTACACAACTTTAAATAAATTCTGATGCAGTGGTTATGCCATACATGAAATGGCTCGAAATTAAGTCTTATGAGGAGATCGAGCATTATTATTATAAGTTTAAAATATATAAATAAATAAACAAGTAAACATAAAATATATACTATATCAGTATATACATAATATATATAATTTAAATAAATAATATAAATATACACAAATCGCAATTTAATTCACATATTTACTCACATACTTAAATCGTATTTGCGTGGTAGGCTACAGAGGGTCGATGTTAACGGTACGAGATCGTCAGGATCTGCAATTAGCATGGGTGTCCCTCAAGGTTCAATTCTAGGCCAATTTTTGTTTTTAGTTTATATTAATGACTTACCTAGCCTTATGGAGGGTGTAAAACATGAGATAGTATTGTTTGCTGATGATACTTCCTTATTATTTAAAGTTAAAAGGCACCAATGTTCCTACGACGATGTGAACAATGCTATATCTAAAGTAGTTGATTGGTTTGCTGTTAATAACCTACT